ACTTCTGCATTTTTCATCCTACATTGTTTGTTGAGATCGCAAATGAAGTGGCATTTACGCGAACGATAGGTAGGTCAGTGAAGCTTCTGCTTGACAATCCGTCACATCGATACCTCCTTTAATTCCTGCTCATTTGCTTTCTTGTTCATGGGTCACCCCATGTTGACGACCGACCCGCAAACGAACTTGTGAATAGTCAGTCATGACCAACACTAGCCTTTATACTGCCTTCTAGTTTGTCTTTGGTTCGTTCTGCTTCTATATGTCGTTCAAAAGCTCTGGGTTCGGTCAGTATTGAAGTCACGAAGAATTTTACTGTGCTCTCCGCCTCTTGCATGCGAATGACTGCAAGTGACATCGAACGAGCCTTTTTAAAGATATTGAGGGTTTCATTTCAGTTACTATGTATATTACCAGAAAGCCTACTTGTGCAACTAATTAATAGCGAATGAACCGAAGTTAATAAACTACTTCCACCTTGAAAGTTCCTGAATTTTGGAGCCCATATTCTTGGAACACCCTGTACAACGTTAACGGTTAGGGCCTCGTTGGCGCTCAAGGTGGGTACCCAGGCCTCAATGTCTCAGCTCATTACATGTACACATTTTCAATGGAACTTGTAAAATCGAAGATAAGACCATCAGTGATTAACAGTGGCAAGTATCGACTCCGTTTTCAGCAGTGGCATTCGCGCACGATTGGACTCAAGCCCAAGAGCAGCCAGTCAATAGCTTTATACTACCGCCCGCTGAACTGAATCTTCACTTTATCCACCGCTGCTTATCACCAATGAGCACTCTCGATGACAGCTTAACGAAGTTGAAAACACTTAGCCGTCATTTGGTCACTGTGCTGCGATTGTACACTCCTAGACGCTATTATCCCGCATGCTTTCGCTTCTGTAGCTTCGAAGTCCTATTTCCAAACTATTGATCCCTTCAGCCCGCAATAGCCTCAAACTCATCAGTGCCTACGCGGCTGTAATTCGTTCCGCATCGCATCAAAACAGGTGTTTACCCTGAATTTATATGGCATGTTTCTCCTGGAGAATTGGCTCTTGTTTGGTGTAGCTTCAATTACCGTGCGAAACAAAACTGCTGGGATTAACGGCGAGGATGCCAAAGAGTCCCTCAATTTAGAGAAAATCGTTCTCAATTTACCGAAATCCGGTCATCCTGAAGTAGCATTATTTGATTCCTGAATAATCATTCTTACAACTCCTTGACGATACACCCTTTACAGCAAAATTGAAGCCATTGTACTTCATCGGGAGAAAATAATAAAACCAGGAGAATTTCATTTCTGACTCAAAGCTCTCTGTGAAATCCAATACGGAAGAGCGGGGCGCAAAACCATCCTCACGAAATCAGAGACGACGTGCTATTAGGGATTTGGATACGTGTCTTAGTCGGTAGGCTCGATGCATGAGACGCAGCTCAAACAATCTCGAATTATGTCCGTTTGCAGAAATTCGCATACTGACATCTTCACCCAATGAGCAAAATGGGGAAGCGTCTCTCTGTTCATCATGCAGAAAAAGAGCAACGAAAATCCATTAGCTTCACATTGTCAATGGTTTCCATGTACTTAATAGCGTGGAAACGACACTGTCACCGTGTGCATTTATGACTGATTGACTATTTGCTTCTAGTCAAGGCTTGACATACTATGTAGATTCGTCAGGTGTCGCATGGTCGACAGCAAGCGGAGATGGCCGAACGCGAAAGCAATTTTCAGTCATAAGCCAGCTTTGAACGAGAGATTAGAAGATTCTGCGGAATCGCGTTGAGATATTCGGATATGAAATCCGCATCACTTAACGCAATCGCAAATAGTTACTTGCGGATTTCATACAGCCTACTCAAAGTCACATCACGTAATTGCCAAGAATTGCTTGAAAGGCTAGTAGGGATGTGCCCAGGCAACTGTAGACTTCACACTATAATAATTAGCCTAGAAACGATAAACTCAGAGCTTAAACTTCAAAAAGGAATAACTATCCCAATAGCGTCCCCTTCACAAGGAGTGTCACATTCTAATGAGGGCTTATGATCAATCACATCGAGAGATGGCAAAATCAAAAGAAAACTAATGATTGGATGTATGCAGAACTCAACATACGACATTCATACAAACATCGAACACTGCATCCTTCTTGTACCTCATATCTGATGCCTCTGTGCTTCTGAGTGGCGACGGCTTCTTCTAGATTTTGTTCATCAACAAACCACTTTCAGCACCTTCACATTCCTTGCCTTCATTTCGAAGCCCCACTATTGACACCCAGCTATATGTTTTCAAGAAATAGAGCCGATAAGAGTATGATCCTCTAGAATTGGCTGGGATTGGAAAAAGAAGGGGACAGATAAACTCAGATAGTTAAAGCCTCCTCTAGTTCTTTAAGGGGGGGGGGGGTTGGGAAGGGAAGTG